TCACCAGGAACACTCAAACTGGACCAGAATCCCTTTAAATATCCCACATATGCAGGTTATTTAAAAGCTGGCTAATACAGGAGTTTGCACTGATTTAAAATACTCTAAGACTGTCCACAAGGGTTTATTTTTGGTTTAAAAAGTGGCTTATGTCAGTTTCTTAAGACAGGGCCTAACTGGCTTAAACTGATTAGAATTAAGCTATGCTGGGGTTTATATACATTTAAACATAATCTGTTTAATGTCACATGCTCAGCAAACAGAGAACACTCAGGTTGGTGCTGGAGCACAGCAAATTATGGGATGCAGCAGCAGAGGGCAGCACACCCCACAAAATTTATTTCCCAACTGTTTACAAATATCTCGTCTGGAATGTTACAGAAAGGAATCCCAATTCCCTGATTTTGGTTTGCTCTCTAAATACTTGGAGAATAAAATTGATTTGGACTGAACTGCTTAAAGGCCCAGCTGTGAGTTCTTTACCATTTATTGATCTCTAGTGTTAAATCTCCTGTTTTCCCTCCACACAGAAAGGTTTTAATCCTTTAAAGTAAGAAACATGAGCTCAGCTTAGCTCAGAACTCTGGATGGGAGCCCTCAGTGCTAAGGAGGTGAAATAAGAGCAGCAGATACACAGAAATTCAACCAATTTGGCATCACAGAAATTGCCTAAAATTTAGTTGTGGCTGTTAAAATATTTATCTTCATTCAAGAGTTTTGAGTGGYTGTTGCACGGAGAAGATCCAGTGCCAGGGATGCATGCACACCCCACTGAAATTCTGATTGAACTGAAGTTCTCTTTCAAATGTCAAAATCTTTAACATTAAATTTAAACAAGATTTAATTCATGAGACTCTCAAGATGCAGYTCAATCTGTCAGTGAGACCCTTTCCAAAAAAGCTGCTCTGAAAAGCAMAAGCCAGTGAAAGCAGGAGTGCCCTGTCCCCCCAGTGACCCACCTTCGTTAGCTTCTGGTCTGGAGTTCTTGATAAATGCAGAAAATTTGGCAAATATATCCATTCCAGCAGTGTTGGATTCTGGATGCTTTGGTGAGAGTTTCAGGTACCTGAAAAGCAGAAAGGTGCAGATCTACAGCACATTTCACAGAATGGTGATCATTATATATTAACTGGCTTAAAAAGGCCCTTTGAAAAATATTTTACATCATGTAGATTTAGTAATTTATCCTTTTTCAGACTTGATTCTGAAGGGTAGTATCACTGAGTTTTAAACCAAAGACTTTCCAGAGGGACAACATCACAGATCTGCAAACAACAATACAGGGGTTTTCCATTTAAAGTAACATCAGCTGTTCCAGAGAATTGTGGATCCAAATCTTTTAAAAAAGACAAAACATTCAGTGTGTTAAAGGCAGTGTCTGCCAGCTGAAGAGCAGAAAGTTTGGAGAAAGTTTGAACACATTAAATTAGATTCTCCCTGTAGTTTAGGAATAAATTCTGTACAGCAGACTCATCTTCGTTTGCATCATTTGGACACTTCACCAGAACAGCCTGTGCCTGTCACCAAAAGGAAGAGTTTGAAACTGCAGGAAGGATGACAGGGCTATAGAAAGGATAATTTAAAAATAAAAATAATCTTTAAGAGARAAGAGATGARGGAGTTGGGGGGAGGAAGGTATGAYAAGCAAGAACTAAATTCCATGTCTTCAGTTTATTGATGCTGAAGAACATCTTAATTAGTGCAGAAATCCCCCGTGAGAACTGTGCCTATCTGAGGTGACAAATTCTCACTTTGGCACTTACTTGGGTGGGGCCAAAACATCTTCCAGGAACTCTTCAATCTTGTTCACATCCGTTCTCACTTCCCCGTTGTATGTGATGAAGGGAGGGTGAGTGCCTGGAGCCAAATTCTGAAGGTCTGCTGGTTTCCTGGGGTCACATGCAAACCAAGAAAAAAAATCAGCAGGGGCACCCAATTTCATTGCTACAACCACAAAAGCACTGCTGAGGTTTKCACATCCTTTCAGTTTTAAACAGTTTTCTTTCCAAAGCGTGAGTTTACAACGTAACATTTTGAATACAATTACTAACAATGAATTTTAAAATTTCCTCCTAGCTCAGCTGTGTTTATTCTCCACAATGTTGACCAGAAGAAGAATAACACTCTCCCTCTTTCCCAAGCCCTACAGAGGGTTTATATATAGCATAATCTGTGATAATCCTCCCCCTTCACACAGAGCTGCTCTGGAAATAAGCAACTCTGCTACAACACGGTGTATAAACCATTTATTACGTGCCCAGGGAGTTTGGTTCTAGGCAGGCTTAAATATCTTGTTTAAAATTATGCTTCAGTGGAAAAAAAAAAAAAAAAAAGTTGTTTCTAGTGCAGAGCAGCACACCTGGGAGAGGAATCCCCACATTTGGACCATCAAAAATTGCATCAACAAAACAAACACTGCCCAGCTGAAAGCTGTGCCAAGGTAAAACTGCTCCTTTGCTGCAATTTGGACAAATCCAGGCTGGAGTGTAACCCTTGAACTGGGACTGGGCCTGGTCCTGAGCCAGCTCAAGCATCCAGGAACTGGATTTACTGGAAACTGCAACTGCAGCTCGAGAAATGCTCCTGACAACACCAGACAGGGAGATGGAATAGGGAACATCCACAAACCCAGTCCTGCGGGGCAGCACCACATGGACTCTAAACTCAGCACAGTTTAAAAGTTTATCTTCTTTTCCATTTCTTCCAAAATGAAGAACCCCACAGAATTTCATGTCCTGCCCACTGCTGATCCTGTTACAGTGCCAAAGTGTGCTTATATGAATGAGAAAAGTGATTTTCATACTTTAAGAATATTCCACACCCTGCTTTAAGCCAGGGCATGGAAATCTTATAAATACAAGACTTTAACTCCTTTCAATTTTTTAAGCTTCTGAGAAGTTATTTCTCACTAAGAGTTGCCACCACTCTCTCACTTTTAGGATTTAAAGTCTGTCATCGGGTAATGCTTTAAGGAGCTTAACACTTCATTTAAATACAGCTTTGTAACTCCCAACAATTACAGGAAGTCATCGTGGCTCCCTTCCAATTCCCCACATTGGCCAGATAAAATTCCTCAAAAGGAATGTTCTTATAAAAACAAACACKAGAGCAGGACCACCGGATCTGCAGGAATACTATCAAAGGCAAGCATGAGCTCAGAAAGATTCTTCCAAAAACTAACCAAAAAACTTCCCCAAAAAAAAAAACAGAGGATCCCAAGCACTTTATGAATGCAGTGAGACCACCTGGATCTTTGGAGAGGAAGAAAGCAGAGATGAAATCCCACAAACCAGGCCCAAACACAACTCAGGGTTTGGTTTCCAGTTTGCTGCTCCTGCCAGGGGATTATAAACAGGCCCTGCTTCACCACAGCCCTTGGAGAACAGCAACAGCCTTAAAAGGCTGAGAGTACAAATTCCCTTAACAGTCAAACAAGAAGGCAATTAATGTAACGGTGAAGTTTTACTTCAGAGATAAAGCTGGAGAGCTTCAAAAACAAACCAAACCCAAACAAAAAAAAMCCCTTCTATAACCACTCCAAATAACTCCARGATGGTTTGTGCCTATCCCAGAGTTCACCAGGGTTTTTGGTTTTTTGGAGGCARGGCCACATTAATTATCTGGCCATTGCTACCCCCAGAGTCAAGGTATAAACATCTCACAGCTTTGCCACAAACCAGAATAGCAATTAGCATGCAAATTGTTTTTTGTAGAGCAGACAAAAGCCARCCCCCAAATGTAATACATTTATGAATTATACACACACAGCAATGAGCATCTAAAGAGTAACATGGGAAAAAGTCAGCAATAAAAGCCCACTTTTTTTTTTTCTGAAGCTGGATTCACCTCTGGGCACTCTCTCGTTTTAATATTTAATATCATTGAAGGATATTAAAGGAATTGCAAAAAGTCAAAGCAAAGGTGTTTCAAACAGGATTTCAGCACTCAGCTGAAGGCAAGCTGGCCCTGMATGCTGTTCCAAGCCCAACAAATGGTTTGTGCAGCAGAGCTCAGCTCTGGCCTCCAGAACAAACCAGAGCTCTGAGCACTGAAATGCTGCTGCCCAGAGGGGAAGAATGAAGGCTCTGTGTGCCCAAAGAGAGGGAAGAAATGCCTGACTCCTTGCAGAGGGTGGGACAACCCTSCTCTTTGCCTCTGTGCATATTTCTGGGTGTTGAGAGCAGAGCTGAGAACTGCAGAATGTGCCTTTGTTAGCTCASTGTGGTGTCCAGAGGGGAAAAACACACGGCACAGAGTTGGGCAAAACAGCCTCAGCTCTTCCTGTGTCCCCAGCCCCTCACTTGTGAACTTTTGTACCCAACCATGACCTTTTAAGCCTCCCAGACAGAGCTGGCCTTGCTGGTGTGCAGCAATGACGTGATGAGGCAAAGCCTGTTTTCTCTTTTTGGCCAAYAAAATCAATTCAGTCGCTTCAAACGAGTCCAGCTCTGCTCTTCAAGTTTGTGTCTAACAGGAACAAAGAGCAGAGGAGATAATTGGCTTGAATAATGTGCTTGTAAAAGCAGTTTCCTGTGACAATATTAAGGCAGAACCTAAAATCTATTATCATTCTGGTGGTGAGAATAAAACAGCCCCATCTGATAGRAAACATTTCCCATTAAACACTTAGCTGGATGTGATGTTCTGCAAGCTACACTGTTCTGCCACTGGGTATTGATCAATCCACAATGTTAAAGTTGTATTTATAGAGATTTGAATAAAGTCTAGAAGGAATTAAGTTTGGATCCATATCTGTTCCAACCTGAATTAGCTTCAGTGGTCCTGTGTTTCCTTCCCCAGAGAACCCCTTCAGTGCTCAACACAAAGGTGGTTTATTTGACCTATTCCCCTGCAGATCCTTAATTCTGCACTTATTTTGTGTTTCCCCCTCCTCAATAGAAAAAAACCAAACCCTGAAAGAAAGCTTTCCTTGTGTAAGGGTCAACTTTAAACATCTGCAACCAATTTTATATGCTAAAAGTTAGTCTTACATCCCATTCCCCCACCCAATTAACTCCAAGTTGCCAAGGGGACACAAAATAAARCCAATTCATCAGGCATATTTGGCATTTTAATGATATCTAAACTGCTTCAGCAGTAAAAAGGCTTCCAAGCCTAAAATATCTCTGCCCACCTTCTCCTCACCCCCCACTAACTGGTTAAACAACACCATCATTAAAGGTAAAGGAAATCCCAAATTCCCAACAGCCCACAAACCACAGGCAGGGCTGGGTGGAAGATGTGACACGTTTGCTTTATGGGGCTGGCAGCATCAATATTTGCAGGGAAATCCCACATTGGGCAGAAAAGCTCTTTGAGCAGCTCCAAATGCAGCCAGAGTTGACAAAAGCTGCTTTCTGCCTCTCACCACACATGGAAGTCTTTAACAGCCCTTGCCAGCAGTGAARCAGCAACTTCAGTGGTTCTGAAAACCAAAACAAGTCAAGTCCCTCAAAAAAACCCCAAGAGGTGAGTCCAGCAGGGTGATTTCTCCCCTGTATGCWGGATTCAGTGCACAACACTGTATTTCTGTTGGCTTTATTCCCAAAATTCAGGTTTGGAGGCACTGGCAGCCTCCCCTCTCTGCAGAGCTGGGACCAGTTTTATACCAGTGCTGGGAAAACATGACTTCACACCCAAAGCAAACACAAGGGCCCYGCTGGATTTAGCACTTCCATAAAAAAAAGAATGCCCAGCCTTAGGAAATTAAAACTCCTGGATTCACTTCTCACCCTTTTTAGGCACCAAGGTACTCATTTCATAGAGGAGAAGTTGCAATTTAGGTGACACAAAGCACCACGACTGATCTGGCTAACAGACGTAGAACATCCTGCTTTTTATTCCTGCTCATTTCACTTCTGTTTCCCTCATGAGCAGGTATCTTCATTATTATTATTATTATTGTATAATCACCAAAATTATCATTAAAAATATTAAGAAAAGGAGTAAGTTGCATGTAATTTGTGACAATTATCCAATAATCACTGGGGATTTGACCAAAAGTATCCATCTGTCCTCACTTAGGGGATCTTGATRTGAAATTAAGTAAATTAAAATTCAATACTCAGTTATAAAAGACTTTGTGTCAGCTGTGACTTTCACAGAAGAGCATCACTGAACAAATTCAAGAGAATTTACCAGACCCCTTATTTTTGTTAACTTCCCAATAACCACCAATGAATGCACCATTTACACCCAGGTTACCTCAGTTGAGAGGACAAATTTTCTTCTGAATTTCAGAAAATCAACCCTGTAAAACACATAACTGGAAAAAGCTTTGTTACAGCAATAATCAAATATTTCTTACCTCTTCAGGTCCACCGTTGTGACGCTGAACACCACTCCCTTCAGCCACAGGATCATGAAGAGTCTCTGGGAGAAGGGACAGTTTCCTATGCTCTCACCATCACTGCCAGCCTGCAGGACACAACACAGCATTAATTTGGGGGTAAAACTGTGCCATCCACACAAACATYTYCAGTTCAACACACACTACAACTSAAATTGCCACACTGATGAAGTTTTYACTTGCCATGTCCTCCAGCTGCTAAAAAAAAATGAGTAAAAGAATATTTCAGCCAACGAAAGTTTATCTTTGACACTGATGATGATCATCCTTGTCTGAGCAGCCACACCTTGTGATGGCAGTTTTCCAATGTCAATGTTGTTCTTTGCTCTTTATTATTCTTTTTTCTTTCTTCTCCAAGGCATAGCTAATTAATTGTAGTCATCTTCCAGCTCAGTGCTTCTATCTCTCCCTGTGCAGGAGTTCCTCTCAGGAACTGAGAATGGATTGTACTGCAGGTGTTGTGAGGAAAGACATAACTGTGAGTACATAGAGACTTCACTGACAATTAAATAATATCCCAAAGCCACTTTTTATGGGCAATTTATCAATTAGTCTTTGTCCTAGCACAACAAAGGTCCATTAGAAAACAGCAGTGAGCTCCCCAGTGATAGCACACATCTCATCCTTGCTCTGACAATGAAGGATGYGTTGCTGAGCTGGAAAATTTTAGTTTTTACTGGGCTAGAATGAGGCAYTGGAAACCTTTGTTATAAAATTCAATCCCCTGAAGATTGGTTCAGTACTTAAAGCAGCCCTGTATGGCAGATTATCCTGTACTTTGTATTGGAAAACTTTCAATGGATTTTGCTCATTATTATTAGAGTCCTTCCAAGAGTGATTTTCATCAGTMCAATCCTCAAAACCTGGCCAGTTCTTTCATCATCACAATGAGGAGAATTAAGAAAGACTTTGCAAGTCAAGAAGAGTAACAGTAGGATTTCCAAAAACCAGGAAAAATAGAAAGTTTTTCATTGAAACTGTCTTAAATTCAGAAAGCTATTTTGGTTTTTGTAAACTCAGGGAGCCTTTGCAGATAAAGCTGAGTCTGCTTTAACAGCTGTTAATAAATACCAGGACGTGAGGATTTATAAATTAATTAACAGCTCATGGACTCATTTCTGTCAGAGTTTCCAGAGRCTGTAGACACAGAGTCAGTTTTCTTCAAGTGCCCATCCAGCAGCTGTGCTTTTATGGATGTTAATATTTAATATTTAACACATCACTGTCCCTCCACGCAGCAGGGTGGATTTCAGCACTTCCCACCACAGTTACACTGAGTTTACACTGCAGCTGACATTTCCTACAGGTRAATTATAGATTTATATTCATCTGCTGATTTTGGTGCCACGTGTCAGATCTGATCTATCAGGATTGAATAATATAAAATGGCATTCAATGCAAGGAAAATACATATTTTGTACTGCTGTGGGTAATTCATGTTTTGAAGCAGAAATAATTCCTTGACTCAGAACTGATTTTAGTCTTTAAACTCAAAGCAAAGCCCCTGARTTACACAGGCTGAAATTCCCATCCCATTAAACTTCATTTGTCCCACTTAAATCCAAGGCAAAGCTACTTTAAAACCAYAGAACTGCACAAAAACTTGTTTAAAACTTCAGGCACAGCACTGACCTGTGGCTTTCACTWAGATCCATCCTCCTAAACCAAAATCCAATTGACCAAAAAAGGTCAACTCCATTTACTTATCCCAAAACTTTCCTTCTCTCCCAACACAAGTGCAACACTCAAAGTGAACATCCAACCCACAGCATCTGTTTTTGTTTAAGCAAGACAAGCTTTTGGGATTATTTGAGTCAGAAGGAAGGATTAGAGCCCAGTGCTGTGAACAAACCCTGATGCATTTTCAAAGCTCAACAACCTCAACGGAGCCCAGACTTTTCTGTCTGCAAACGTTTGTCCCACTTCTGCTCCAAAAAACCCCCAAGTTATTCTGAGCACATACTGGAAAAGGAATGTACTCAGAATGCCAAGAAACTTTGGCTCCAGTGCTCTCGAGCCAAGGAATTCTGCTCTGGAACTGTTTGCCCGAGAGAGAGGCCCATTCTGTGTCTCTGCATTTGATGCCACGACTGCTACGGCCCCTCCATGGAATTCTCCCTCAATCCATGGAATTCTCTGTCAATCCACAGGATTCTCCCTCAGTTCACAGGATTCTCCCTCAATCCACGAAATTCTCCCTCAATCCATGGAATTCTCCCTCAATCCACGGGATTCTCCCTCAATCCATGGAATTCTCCCTCAATCCACGGGATTCTCCCTCAATCCATGAAATTCTCACTCAATCCACGAAATTCTCACTCAATCCATGGGATTCTCCCTCAATCCATGGAATTCTCCCTCAATCCACGGGATTCTCCCTCAATCCATGGAATTCTCCCTCAATCCATGGAATTATCCCTCAATCCATGGAATTCTCCCTCAATCCACGGAATTCTCCCTCAATCCATGGAATTCTCCCTCAATCCAGGGATTCTCCCTCAATCCACAGGATTCTCTTCTGAGGGTCCCTCATGCCTCTGATTTTCTCCACTAGAACACAGCTATACTGGCAGTAAACTCTAAATTTTGCAAGAATATTCTGAAATCCGGCATGATTTGTCAAGCAGGAGGTTAATCACAGAATAATTGTTTGCCTTGTCTTTGAATTCAGGCCATAAAATTCCAGGATATCATCAGTGTCTAATCCTCATCACCACCAGAGTAAAACAAATATTAAATGTTGACGTCTTTACACTAAACTTACCATAGGTTATTTGTTAATTCAACAAGATTATAGTCATTCTATACCAAGAAGTTTTGGGGTTTTATTTCAAATTCTTTTTAAACCCAGCCTARAAATCTTTATTACYAGTAATATTATCAATATTAYKAATGCAAACCTGCCTGTAGTTAGGRTTTATTTTCAATTCTGCCATTGCCCACTGAAGGACATGTATTCAAAAATCTCATCATGTATCTAATTTCACTGAATGTCAGGTTTTCAATTGTAGGGATTAGGACCAGACAGAGAAAGTGCCACACCTCACATAGGAAGGAAACATGAAATTTGTTTCCCTCTACAAATTGAATTTAAGTAAAAATTTAATTACTGAAGTAACTAAAGAAACTTCCAAAAAGATGGCAAAAAGGAATTTTAATTTTAATGTTAATTGTAAGACGTGGCACAGGGAGAACAGAGCACACACACACCAGAGAACTGCCCTACAGTTCTAGGAAAACAAATAAAGCTATTTTTAAAGAAACATTAAATAGGAAAGGAAGTTYAAACAAGAATGAGAGAGTTACAAGGCAGTGACACAAATCAGCTGTTCATTGAGAAGTCAACCTGGTTTATCAGAGCCACAGTGGAACTGYTGGCAACTCCCAGTGCCCAGCAGCTCGGCCTATGCAGGAGTGCCAGCTACTTGGAAAGGAAAAAAACCAAAAAAAAAATCTATTTATGCCAATGTCTGGGAGTCTGAGCTCAGCTGATGCAGCCAAGGCGGAAGSCAACTCCTCCCTTTCTCTTCCCCTGAGCGGTGATTTCATTCAAATGAGACTTTTTCCAAAAAAAAAACCACCCTAGAGAGTACAAGTAATCATACATCTGTTTCAGTGGCTSTACAAGCTAAGGGAAGGGAAAAAATCCATTTCAATTGTGAAATGTTTGTCTTTACAGCTGCATAAAAATTAACCTGAGTCCTGACACGAGAACCTGCATGGATTTAYTTTAGCAAGGTAGATCTGAGTTTATTGAAAGACCAACAAAAAAAAAAAAACAGACAAGCAAAGAAACACTTAAAAGGGTACAAAGCCCTTCTTATGCAGCACAAATCTGAGAATTCTAGAAATCCCCGGTCCCAAAGATTCCTGCAAAATTGTTTCAAACATGAATCAGTTAAAAAGTGCCCACTACAAGTTTCCCAAACTGGATCAAATAACTGCAGAATAATAATAAAGTCAAAGTGCATCTGATGAGCAACAGAATACAGCTCAGTCTCAGCCTATAAAAATAAAACAAAAGGAAAGGGCAGAACCATTTCTTAATWTATCCAAAACTCTCAAGGGAATTTCTCCCAGATCTGACATACCAGAATTGGTAAAAAAAAGTTTGGATGAAGAGGGATAAATGGATTTTAGAAGCATTTCACAGAACTTTTGACCAAAGACAGTTACTGGAGCCATCTGATTGCAACACCAAGAAAGTCCCCCAAGAAAGGGAATCTGCACTTTGCCAAGGCTAGAGCAATAATGTTCCAACCAATAAACAGATTGGGGAAAAATGAAAATAATTGAGAGGATATGTTCACATTTTGAACTCAGCAACCTTGAAATATGTCTTGGGTTTTAACAATGAAAACCAAACCTGCTGAGAAAACTGCATGAGCAACCCAGCATGATGCAAAGCCATTGCCTCAAAGCAGCAGATAACAATCAATTTTGAATGTTTAATGAGCAGTAAGCTCATTCCAAAACTGAGTAATTAATAATAATCCTTTCAGGATTACTGTTTTGACAGGAAATGGTTTAAGGTGAACTAACAAAGCGATTCAAGCRAAAAACCTGCAGCAATTCCAAAGTCTGAGATAAAAGGAAGGGAGAACACAGAAAGGAGGGGTTTGATGTTGCACACATGAAAAGRGTCTGGGTGTATCAGCCCAAATCCTGGCAGTGCCTGCTGGACCTTTATCTTGCCAGGCTGAACAGACAGAGTTCTGTGGTGCTCACTGAGGGTGTTTCCAGATAAGATGTAAAGAATTACACTCATGGAAGGAGTGTGACAGTAATTGATGTAACAAACACTCCCCACAGTGCCATTATTCCAACTGCTCCCTGTGTGCTCAGGCACTGAATGGATGAGCCTCAGGGACGYTCTGTGCAAACACTCACCCTGTAAATCAAACCAAAGCTCAAAGGCTCCCAGTGTCTCAAATATTGATGGATATTGATGTTTTCCTCTTATTCAAAGAGGAAAACAAGTGATAAGGCAGTGAGGTGCAGTGACCAGGGCTGGAAAAGCTTATCTGCAAGAGTGTTCCACCCCTTGCCACCCTTGCAGTTTGAGAAG